AATATTTAATTAAAATGATTTTCAATGTCATTACTAGTATGTCATAGCAAAATTATAAAATGGCATTGCTAGTTTCTTATAATATAATTAATATAATCTATGAATACAGTATATGTTGTATTGTAGTTTTATATCAACAATAGGAGTTAAATTCTTTAAAGAAATTGTAAAGAGAAATATTCAGTACATTATACTAGTATGTAGTTTTACATTGTAATTAACCTGTTAGTTTAGAAGTGTCCTATCATAATTTACTAGATCTAATCATTTTGTAATAGTCCAGTTCAAATAAATTGTGTAACACTATTAATATTATACAATTGAAAACGCACAATTGAATTATAAATAAAGAATGACCATTATTAATGATTATGTTAAAAATATAACACACACAAGTATTTTTAAAGTAAGTTATATTTTACAATATTAAATGGATGCAAAAAAATTCTTATACAATTTATTTGGAAATATGATAAAGTTTTCAAAAATATGTAGTATAACTAGACGTGTCATTACATTATCTAATGGTTCAGCATAATCTATGATAAGGAGTTTTACTTATAAATACAATCAACTAGCTGTAACTTGTTTGACTTAACATTAGCTAAAACTAGTTTGTATCTGGTTTTACTTTTATAAGTATTGAGTAAATATTTTTTAATTAAAACAAAAATGCGAGACAAAGTACATGAGATGTGTCGTGCATTTTTAGGTGGACAGTGGGATCATATATCCAGCGATGAGATAGTTATTAAAATACTCAGGTAAGTGTTTTACATGAAATTATATTCATTCTTAAAGTTATTAAATATTGCATTACATTGTAATAATTACAATATTCACCATAATTTATTTTTGATATTAATTTAGTGGTGGGTATAGTAATCAATTGTATTACTGTTCACTACCGGACAAAGTGCAGTCACTCAATGGTGAGCCCCAGGATGTTGTGTTGCGATTCTATGGTCAGCCCAATAATGATGGGGACGACTATAAAGTGACGGATTCGCTGATAACGATGTTATTGTCTGAACGCAGATTAGGTCCCAAACTGTACGGTGTGTTCGCCGGCGGACGGCTCGAGGAGTATATTCCGGTCAGTCGTC